GGAACAGCTGATCCCGGCAGGCTCAGAGCCGTCAAGGAGGCGTGGGGTTTGTAAGTGTGTTTTGTGCCATGGAAACACTAAGGCAAACTGGAATCGTAGACATGTGAACCAGCTATACAGCTGGAAACGCGAGCAGGGCTGTGGGGTGTGATTATGTTGCAGTGCATCAAGAGGACCAGAATTCATGCTAAAAGACAAATGATTGCACTTGTATTACCTATTGTAGCTGCACGATCACCTGCAGGATAGATGGGGATTAGCACTGTAGTAACAACCTGCTGCTTAACACCCAGCTACTCAAGCCTCTCTAATGCTTCTGTGAACTGAAGGAGTCCTCCCCCCCACGCTCTGCTCCTGTCTGAGGAGACAAGGGTGGCAAAGCCATTAGCTTGGAGCATATTCGCTAATGTGGCATAAGCAGCTAAAGAAGATGTATTTATGCTCCTTCATTTGCAATTGATAATCTCAAGAGTGAGAGCTGGTAATAAATTTTCTCACTGGGGCTTCTATCCCTCTCCAGCCCACGCTGCAGAAGGGAATAGGCAGCTCATTTACATAAGATAATGAAACTGCAGCAAAATAGTAAAATTGCAAAGCAACTTTGTTTTAATAATGACAGATGCTTCTTAAACACTTTAATTATGTCTCTCGGAGCAGTTTTAGCGAGGCCACAAAAAGGAAGAGCAATGTTGCTGAAAATACTTGGAATAAAACTCATTCCCTTTCTACAACTTGAAGGCTCCTCCAAAACTTTTCTCCTTTGCTCAAATGCGTGCTGCAGGCACCGGGCCGCTGGGGACTGCCATTTCTTTTGCCGTCCCACTTGAATTTTTGGAGGCGGCTGGGAGCAGCAGGGCTCTGCCCTGGGTTTGCTGCTTGCTGCTGTCCCAGGGAGCTGAGTGCCCTGATCCGCAGGAGCAGGAGAACCGTGGCTCTACCCCGTGGGCTGGTTCCCCCCGGCACCCACAGCCCCTCCGCTCCCCGGCACTGCAGAGTGCAGGGCGCTGCCACCGACGCTAAACCTGGTGCAGATCTCTGTGGTTAACGATACCCCAGGAACAACAGTGTTAGCAGCAGCCTAAACTTCCCTGAGCAAAATTCACCGCCAGACGTGTAGCAGACACTTTGCTGTAAAGAAGCAGTGAATGGTGCATCCAACAAAGCACAGGGAGAAAGACAAACACATTAATGGAGAAAAAGCCATAATGTGAGTAAACAGCATGCATATAGAAAATGGAAAGAAATTCTGGGCAGCAGGGGAGGATGAAAATAAGCTAACTAGTGCTGAAGGGTAAAAAACCCTAAAAGGATGGGATGGTCTGTGCCTGAAATCTTTCTGCAGCTCACTTCCAGCCTTTTCTGCAATGATTCATCTAACCCTGTACTCTGCTGTGTGCCCCCTTTCTTCCTGTAATGATGCCCCTTTCCCTGCTGCTGGAGGTCGGGTTCTGGTTCCGCCTGCTTCCCTTTAATGCCCCCAGACAGAAGCCGCTCCAGACCTGCTCCTCCTTTCAGCCAGTGCAGAGGCTCTTTGGGGCTGTGAAGTATTATCTGTATCACAGTCACTTCGCTAATCTACGGAAACCATTTCAAGGCACATTATATACAGAGCCCATATGTTACTTCAGCACTGCCAAAAGAGTTCTTGTTTACCGAGATCATGCTTTCAGTCGGTGTTCAGAGTGTACTAAATAGCACCACTGATACTACTTAAAATAAAAGGTGTCAGCACCCTGTCTGCCCCAGCAAATTGCTCAGCACTTTCAGCTCTGAAAACGTCCCTGTGCACCAACACCTCCGGCTGAGCTGCTCCTGCTCGCTCTGTCTGGCAGCGGGGCCTGATTCTGCCCCAGTCCTGGCCCGTCCTGGGGCTCCCTCGCACCGCGGGCGCTCCCCGTCTCCCCGCACACACAGCCGCAGGCAGCGCGGGGATGCGCCAGGCGGCAGCAGCATTAGGGAACCTGTTCTTAGGTTGGAGCAGGGCAGTGCACGTTTAAATTTTGTTTTAATGGTTGGAAATGCAGAGGAAAACCAGAGTCACGCGTCCATGGCTGCTGATGCTGGAAACATCCGGCGAAAGGGCGGGTTCTGCTGGGGTGTGAGCAGGCACAGAGCCCGGGCCCAGCCGGGAGCGCAGTCCGTGACCCTCACCCGCTGGCCTGCTGGCAGAGCCGGACTCCTGCTCTCCTCCCCTTCCCTGCTCCTCTGCGTACGACATGTCTTTCAGTTTTCCGGTGTCTTCTGCTTTGGTTCTTTTCCTCTGTTTACCTGAGCTCCTGCAGGATGCACAGCTATCCGAGCCACAACCCCAGGTTTTTCTAGTTAAACGCAGAACATTAATGCACAACACTGGCCCTGTGGCTGGTTTGATGTTTCAGTTCCTGGTGGGGAGTATCCAGTGCAGAAGTTGCACAGAAATTTTTGAAGGAAAAAGTCACCAAATTCTCCCAAATGTCACAAGCAAGTCTGGGTTCGGGCTGGGTGTCCAGCGAAGGCTCAGGGTGAGTTTTGTTTTGTGCCGGCTGCTTTGCCGGGAGCTGGCGAGCTCGCTTTGCTGCGGGGTTTCACCCCTTGATGCCATTACGCTCTGGTTCTGCAGGGCCCAGCCTGCCCCGTTCCCGTCATTCCTCCTGGAAGGGGGATAGCGGAGGGGGCTCCCGAGGAGGCTCCATCTCTCCCTGCTGACCCCCCCCCCCCCCCCCCC